CCTGGGGTGAGGCGGGAGCGGGCGCGCGCGTGCCGCCTGTTGGGCGGGAGGGCGGGAGAGAGCTGAGGGTCGGTGGGCGGAGGAGCCCGGCTGTGCGAGCGGTTTGCTGGGACACCACTGCCTTGTGCTGCCGGTGCTTGAGGGCCGGTCCCTCTCACAATTTAGATTTATAGCATTTATAATGCGGTTCATTTAAATGCTTCCATTTAACATTTGTCCTGACAAAGCAAAAGCTGTTCTGGTCATATTGTGAAGTGATATAACCTTGGTTTTTTCCCCCCTTTTAAGGGTAAACTTGGATAGGTAACTTGAGGGAGTGGGCAAGATCAGAAATCTGTGATCCTTTTAGTCTTCATGTTTATTAGTTAAATATTTTGCCACTCTGTGATTGTGTCTTAAGTCTCAAGGAACAATTTATTAACCTGTTTGAATTAATTGAACAAAGGTAAAGACTGAAGTAATTTTCTCAACTTCAGAGGTAACAAATCCTGATAAGAGGTAACAAAATGTAATTTTAAAAAGTGCGAGAAACATCATGTATTATTTGGGCATACTTCTTGGCAATGTCCAGGTTCATTCCGATGATGGATAAACGGGCAACTGCTAAATCATCTACCATTTTCACCTCGGATGCTGTTAAAGGACATGTGAAGAAGAAGAATGGACCATTACAAGCTGCAAAACGGAATGCTTCTTTAGCATCTAAAATCAAAACTAAATTAATAAGTAAGTCCTGTTAAAACTGAAGCCAGTTACTGTACTTGGAATGTATGACTTCAAAAGGAATAGTAATTGTATTTAACATTATTTCCTGTTAAAAGTATCAGTATGTTATGTTGAGAATTTTAGGAGAGTTTGAAAGGTAATACACATAGTTGTAAGTTGTTTATTTCAGCGCTTGCTCTTCAGCACAGCAATGTTTTTTAAAAGTGTACTCAAGTGTGTTTCTAGCATCTGTGTCCACATCCATTTGAGGTGTCAAAAAACTGTAGTACCAAAATGAGTAAAAACAATGACCTTTTAAAATATAGTTGCCACAGTACAATACCTAGTACCCCCATTCACAAAATGAGGTTAATATAAGCTGCTTCTAGTCATTTACTGAATCAAGGAAAACTACAAATATTAATCTGCTGATTTAATCACTTGCAGGATGGTACTTTGTTGTCCCAGTAAGTCAGGATTAAATTCAGACATAGGTTTGTTATGGTAGATGGTTGGGTTTTGTTTCTGGCTCTGGAACATCTCAGATCCTCTTCTGGGAGAGATAGGGAATCTATATATGTAGTGAAACACCACTATGTCAGAGCTCTGTAATTCAAGCAGCACGTTTAGGTGAATGTTGACTTCTGCTTCTCTTTCTGTCATCAATATGGTAAGAAATTTTGTTGTTTGTATATATATTTTTGTTTGGTTTTATGTATATATATTTGAACTTACTGTGGCTTTATGTCTAAAGTAATTTTCAGGGAAAAATAAACAGTATAGATTAATAATAGGCTTTAGAAGCCTCCACACTGCAGTAATACAAATAATTCACTAAGGTGAATAGTAATTTCAAAGCATAACATTTGGATTAACAAGGTTCCGCTGTTGTTGCCTGTTTCCCAAAGCAAAAAAATAAGGCCTTGCAAATTTTGGATTACAGATCACAGAAGCAATAAGCTAATGAAGAGATGTAGTTGGAGCAGATTTAAAGCTAACCTTCCTCCTTTTTGTACTATAGAAGAATATGGTCACACTTGCCTCTGCCTTGAGTTCAAGTCAACGCTGTGTATACTATGAATGTGAGGCAAAAAAATTAATCTTGGTAACATGCAGCGCCACTGGAAAAAATGATATAAGTAGGCAGGTTTTAATTAGGACAGTGGGAGGTATATTTCTAATTTAAAGCTTTTTTTCTTTCTGTTGTCAAAACTCACATTTATCCTTAAAATGTTAGAACTTTTTAATTTGTAAAATGTATATTTGGTTTTTAGAAATTTTGAAACGTTTTAATGCCTGTGAAACTTACCAATTTTTAAATGGTTTTTTCTTAACATAACTAAAAAAAAATAAAATCCAAACTAGAGCAGAATCTGCGCCTGAAAGAAACTTGTACTTGAAGCTGACAGAGTAGTCATCAGAATGACAGCCAACAGAAACAGTGTTATATTAGAAAGTGTTAGGCTTTGCTATTGCTCCACCAAAACCTACAAATAAAAATGTTATATAGAGACAGTTCATGGAGAAAGGGCCAGGAATTGAAACTGTTGAAAATAATACGATTTTGTCTCCTTTAGATAACTCATCTATATTTAAAGTATCTTTAAAACAAAATAATAAAGCATTAGCTGTGGCTTTGAGTGTGGAGAAAGAAAATTCTCGGAAGCTAAAGAATGAGAAGATTTTTCTTCAGAAGGAAGTCAAAAAGCTGCAGCTTCATAATACCTTGCTTCGTCAAAAGCTAAAATGTTTGGTATGCTGCAAATAATGTAATTTAAACTTAGATCAGCTTGATCAAGCTTTTATATTTTTTGAAAACTTGATGTTGCTTCTAAAAACGATGATTTAAAATTTACATCTCAGATTTGTGAAGTTATGTCATCTGGTAGCAGAGTATTCACTTTTGCTCCTTCTTTCAGAGTATTTTTTGGACTAACTATTTTGTCCATCAGTGTGTATGCCTATCTATAGTTATTTTATTTAAAAAACAAACAAACACAAACAAGCCAACAAAAAACAACCCATAGATTCACCTTTACATCTTGTCTTTTCTTAAGCCAGAAGCCACTTAAAATATTTTTTAAATTACCCTTTCTTTTACATGCAGAATAAAACTCTTATAGAAACAGAAGCATTTTTGAATTATAATCTCTTAACTGCAATAGAAATAAGCAGTCTTTCTGAGGTAAGATGTTTTTTGAACCCCATTCCTTAAAACTTGGGATCAAACCTTAGTCTAGTGATATCAATCAAATTTTGCTATTGCTTACGCTAAAAATTTAGGATTTATTCTTGTTTACAAAGTATCTAAAAGTTAATATCTAAAAGTTAAATATCACTTATCCCTGATGAAGTAATTTGGGTTTTGTTTGTTTGATTGGTTGGGTTTTTGGTGGGGTTTTTCGTTTTGTTTTGTTTTAAAAGCACAGTATTTCAGTATGTGGTATTCTTCACCAGTGAGTGAGCTTCTTGCCTTCCTTGCTTAAATATCTTGCATGTGGAAATTTTACGAGAAAACATAGTCCATGTTAGTCATTGTGTCATGGCAAAATTACAGTTAATTTAAAAAAATTTTGTCTGTTCTAAACAGTTGCTTAGTGTTGCTCTGTGTCTCTATATGTATCATGTACTTTGCATTACTTATGTGTATACGTTGCTTTGAGATGCAAGTAGGTTACAGATTTTGATAAGTTTTGCTACAAAATATTTTTTTTTAATTATTGTGTATGTTTGAATATCATCCCCCTTTCATCAGTACTTTATCGTTTCACCCATTCATTATTTTTTTCCTATGGATATCTCTGATACTTAAAACATAAGAGAATACTCAAATGTTTCTACTTCCCCATTTTTCTTTTGAAAGAATCTTCAGAGTTCTTTTCCTCTGTCAGCTGGTCCAAGTAGCCCTACTGATGAGCAGTTCAAGAGTACATCGCAGTCAGCTAGGTAGGTGGTTATATTAAATGCGGCGGTTGGTAAGTGTCTGGATATTTTTACAACTAATGTTTGTATTTTGTCCTAGCTATTTTTGAGATAATGAGAAACAATTTCTGTCTAATTCAGAAATTACATATTTACAACTTTTAATTTAGAGAGAGAGAGAGAGAGTGGTAGACAAAACTTGTGTTTTACTAACTTGCTGCTTTCTCCATGGGATCTGATCAGCACAAAGTGAGATACTTTATCATAAAAAATACCTTTGCTCCTGAGATTTCATACTTCAAAGTTAGTTTTCCACTTTTATATATTATTAAGGGAATGTTTTCAACTATTGAATGTTAAGGCATAAAATGTCATTAAAATCTTCACAGTAAAATTTCTACTTTTCAGTAGAAAAGAACTGCCGTTGAAGCTTCCTTTAACTGCAAGAGCTAATAATACAAAACAGCAAGATAGCCCTTCTGCATGTGAAATAGAAAATTCTCCTAAATGTACCACTATTTTGTCCAAGGAAATAAACTCAGATCAAGTCAAGTTTGCATTATCAGTGCCTTCTGGTACAAATAATCAGAAGTTAATTGAAAAAGACCCAGTGGAAACAACTGTTGACAAAAATGTATTTTTAAAAGGTATGGTCTATTTCTGTACAGGTGATTTATTTTTCAGAGCTATATGAGAATTCGTATTTAATAATTTATTACTTGATGTGCAATACAGAAGGTACAGTAAGATTCCTAAACTATAATAAACAAATGAAAACCAGAATGCTCACTCATAATAATGGGTGTTCTGACAATCACTTGTAGAATAATGTTAATTGAAATAATACAGCTGAAATGTAACATTTTTAATGTGAACGGAATAAAACTTATAAGATAATCAGATAACTACGTCAGTTATTATAGAACAATACATTTTTATTTATGCCAAATTTCAAAAATCTGACATTAGTAAAATATGAAATTAGTTCTAGTTAACTAAATTTTTAAGCACCAACCACGGAATATGTGAATTCAGTAAAATTAAAAAAATGCAGTTTGTCATTTCCCATGCTTCTGGTCCAACCTTCACTAATCTGTCTTGTTCTGATAAATGTACTCTGTCCTTTCTTTCCGCAAGCTGCTGAAGTTTTTCTCTTTGCAGAAAATCAATTATGCACAGAACTAACTGGTGATAGAGCCTTCCTGACTCACGTAAAAAATACACAATCTGTAAGACAGTCTGAGGAGCTTACAAAACAATATAATGATCCTTCATTGCCATGCTGTGAAAAGGTGACTGTAAGAAAGAAACATGCAGTACTTCATAAGTCAAAAACTCAACCTAATATAAAGGATTTTGATAAAAAATGTAGCTCAAATAATCTGCCTCGTCATGGTATCAGCAGGCACAGCAACACAAATGACATGAATTTGCAGGAAATTTCAAGTGACTCATCTCGTGTTACTCCTTCACCTCTTAAATTTAGCAAGGAAAGTAAGATAGATTTTAAGAATCTGCTTTTTACTGACAAGATGAAGCCTGAAGAGACTGTTTATGATGCTGATATGGAGTTGACTGCCAGTGATGCGGGTGAACTTCTCACAATTACAGCGAAAGAGAAAGATAAATTACACAGAAATCAAAATAGTAATGCCGATTCAGATAAAATATTAGCAAATTTCAGAAAAGTAAAATATTCTAAGAAGGATAAAGAGAAAATTAAAAGCAAGACTGAAGTCCGTTCAAATTTATATGTAGAAGAAAAGCATGCTAGGGCTGACAATAATGAAGTTTCAAAAACTACTGACTCACAAACTCAACTATTCCAAAATCAGACAGAACAGCTTCCTACAGAAAATTCT